GAGCCCAGCCAGGACAACAGAATGGGACCTGATCTCAAGACAAAAGGCTGGGGATGCAACTCATGCAAAGGCTTTGGGTTCAGTACCAAGGCCCGCAAAGAAAACCAAACGGGCCGCCTCACAGGAGCATGCCCAGGGCCGGCCCTATGGCTCTAGGAGGTTGCCCGGCTGCGAACCTTAGTGCACCCCAGCAGTGAGAACTGGATGGCACGAATTCCATTCCATTCCTGAGCTCGCAGAGCTCCTGGCTTTTGCCTTCAAAGAGCAAGTTTTTCCTTCTGTCTTCTTTAACACCTCTAGGCAAAAATGATGAAAGAAATTTGGGTGGAAGGCTCACTAGGTAAATCAGGGGCAACTCTGATGCAAACTTCCACCATTAGAATGTGACACAAAGACTTTCCACTCCCCTCTTCTTCCCCAGGCATTTGTTACTGCATGCAGCCCTTTCCAGGATCGGAGCATGGGGGTGACAGGAGCTAAAATATCCCCTACTAGGTAATTCCCTGGGAGCTCCAGAAGGGCACCAGAGAAGCAAGCAAAGCTCATTTCTCATGCAGCATATGAAGCCAGTTCCTAGTTTGCCATGACTTAGGAGAAAGGTCCACAGATTAATCCTAATGACCACAGAATGCCAGGGCCACTACTTATTTTTACCCCTGAGCCTTTGGGGCCACTCTATCCAGATGAGGAGACAACTATCACAGCTATAGCACAGCTGCAACTATAGAGAAGGTTTTGCTTCCCAAGACCTGTACGAATTTAGCAAACACTAAGAAGACAATTTTGTAATGAGGACGTAAATTAACAGGAGTAATGAGGTCAGCCTATTAAAATCATTAGTTTCATTAAGAACTTGCCAAAACTGGGAGACAGCCCCATCTACCTCCCCAGGAGTCCCCCTCCTACAACCTACCACAGAGCCAAAACATTATTTAGGGTTTTCATTTGGGACTTCTTCTCTACCCGATAAAAATCATTATTAAGTCATTCTGAAGAAGGGTTCACTTTACAGGGGAACCAGAGTTTCCCAGACGCTGGCAAAATTGTTCATATGGTGACAGAACCATAGGGCAAACGTGCCAAGATTAAAAATGACAGTGACAACGCATAAGAAGTGGCGACGCCAACCACTAATGGCCAAGGTGAGTGAGCAGCACACAAGAATAAATGATGGATTTTAATAAACATCACATCCTGCCTGACAACTCCTGAGGAACACACTCATTCCTGTTTAAAAACTCAATTTCTCCTTCATGCTAGACAAATGGTAACTCGTTACAGCAATTTAAACAGATACCGATAAAGGAAGTTTTTGATTAAGGTCATGAATCTGGGCTGGCAGAAAAGCGATGGTGTTTCAGGGCAAACAGCCTATTTAGGAAAGAATTAAAGCTGGTGGAGGGGAAGGCGCTTCTCAGGTGGTGTCAGCAAAGGAGCTGGGCAGCTTCCAGTGACTTGCGCGAGACCAGAAGCCCAGGTGGAGGAGAGGGCAACTTCCTTGAGAGGGAGCTAATGAGAAATCTTCCTGAGGTCTAGACCAGCGGGACAAGCAAACCCTAGAAAGAAGGGTCCCTGGCCCAAAAGATGGATTCACCCACCTCTCATTACTTCAGATGGTTAAGTGACAGCCAATTTTCAAGAGCTTATCTGTATGTGGAAATCTGTATACTGAAATGCCTTCCAATATCCATTTGAAAACTCAAAAGGACATGGCACCACAGTGCCCAAGAACACATTCCTTTTTTCTTTTACTCTGGCCAAATGTCAACTTGCCGTGCTGACAAGAAAGCCACCTTGTGAATAATGTAAAATAAACAAACTGATTAAACTAAATACATCTCCCAATGAGTCATCACACTGGTGACCTAGCAGAGAGAGAAAAAACAAGGTCCAAACACATAGTAACTTCTTGTTTTTCTAACTGTCCTCAGTTAAGCGCTCTTTTCAATCTCCTATTTATGTGTGCAGGTGCAAGCGGTCAGAGCGAACAGAAACACCTCTGCTCTGCTCCAGTGACTTCAGAAGAAAGCTGCAGCCACATCTCAGGGACACACAGGCTCTGACACAATAGCAGAAACAAGCAGGGGCTGCCTAAGAAGAGTCCGCATGGAACACAGACACACGAGGTCCAAGAATTTGATGAAGTTATGTGCAGGCTAGAGAAAACACAGGCAAAGGGAAAGATGGAAGGCATGCTAAGCTTCCTGGAAAAAAGACTCTCTTCCCCATTTTTATTTGTATTTATTTATTTATTTTTGTATTTTTGGGAAGGGTCTACAGGGTTTCACTACTAGATCAGACTCACAGTGATCCACCTGTTAACAGCCTCCCAAGAGCTGGGATTACAGGGGCGCCACCACACCCAGTCTCAATTGCCACCTTGCTGTCCTAGGTGCCCCGGGGGCAGGGCTCGCACAGCAGGCCTGGGGATGGAAACTCTGGCCCCTGCGCTAAGCAGGCGCTTTAATCCACTGAGCTATTTGGCCAGCCCTTCTCACCCTCATTCTTAACTCTCCAGTAATCACTTAGTGAGCCCTGGCCCTTCGGTGGGAGGGAGGGGACACAGCAGTCTAGAGACTGGTGCTGGGTCTGCATCAGTGTGCAGCAGCCTCTTCCTTAAAGAAGTTAACCTGGAGAAGTGCAGCCGTGTTGGTCAGCCTCAGCTCTGCCTCATTTCCTGAAAATGAAAAAGTCCCGCTGGCCTTTTGTCAGACACACGCGACAGACTGGCTACCTCTGAGTTCTGTTCCGGGCACACGACAGCAACAGTCAGCCCTGAGTCATGTGGCGCCACTTCCAGAAAAGGTCAAAACTATTTGGTAAAATGAAAGGGAGAGTGTATATTTGTGTACACACAGCGGGGGCAATCTCCATTCACAGTCACATTTTTAAAATCTTGAAATTGAAATCAGACTGGTTTCCTTACAAAGTACTTAAACTTTACATACAATGGCACATACTGTGCTTGCAATTCAGCTGCAGCCCAAGTCTTGGAACAAATTCTGGAAATAATTAAGCTCGTGAACCAAGGCACGATAGTAGTGCCTTTCCTTTACCTGGGAGCTGTTCGCTCATTATTTCACAGAGTTGTTGCTTGAGAGCCGCTGTCTCCCCACACTTGAGAGCTGCTGTCTCCCCACGTCCACCCAGCAGTTGATCCCTCCCGCAGCAGGCCACCCTTACTGTCCATGCGCCCCTTCTCCCTTTGGGCATCTCTCCCAACACCCTAACTCCACTCAAGAGACTCTCCCTTTACACAGTGCTCAAACTCCAGGCAAGAAGCCCAATCCCTCTCGGAACAGTTTCCAAACCCATGCACGCAGGAGGGTTCTGTTCTCCCACTTAACCCCAACCGAGCAGACTTTTGCCTACTCTGGACAGGCCGGTCCTCTTTGGACAAGGTCTTGTGCTGTGGCCCAGGGCAATCTCAACCTTGTGGGCTCAAGTTATCCTCCAGCCTCAGCCTACAAATCAGCACATGAATGCCACCACGCCCGGCTCTACCAGGACTTTAAAGGCACCCGCACCTCCACACACACAGTTGTAAGGGCGTCTCTTGTCCAGCCTGGACCACAGCTGCACCAAACGCTCCATTAGCTGGCCCACCTGTCAAGCTTTTTTCTGGCCCGGCTTCCCAGTAACAGATGAGTAACTGCCCTTCAGTGAGACTACTGCCTGTGAATAAACTGTATTTCCTACCACAGAGGAAGCTTCACACCCTTTCAGTCCCCAATCTGTTACTAAGTTTCATTCCAGTTTACCACTGATGCCACAGAGCATGCAAATTCCAAGCCTGCCGGTACACTAGGTTACACACACTGGCTCCCCTCAAAATCATGTCACCAAGAGCCAGGAAGTACGGCCTAATTCGGAAATGGGGTCTTTTCAGATGTAAACTGAGCTCCACAGAGCGATGCTCAGGCTGGTGAGATGGCTCAGTGGTCTAAAGCACCTACTTAGAACAAGCTTAGCAAAGCACAGGGACCGCAGTTCAATCCCCCAGCACCACATGCCAGCCCGCGCCACCCCCTGGTGGGCTGAGCTGGCCACACACACACACATACATACACACGCAATAAATAAAATTTTAAAAAAAGAGCAATGCTCTTATAAGAAGGGAATCTACCCACAGGCTCAGAGGGAAGGCAGCAGCAGCTGACTGGAGTTAGGCTGCCGTCTGAGCCAAGGAACTCCAGAAATGCCAGCAACCAGCAGCAGCCACAGTGGTCGGGAGGGGCTTCCCACGGGCCCACCAATGGATCTTGTGGTCCTGCCAACACCCAGACTTCCAGTCTCCAGAACCGTGAGAATAAATTTCTGTTGTTCAAGCAACCAGTGTGTGGTAAGCGGTTACCAGCAGCCCTTGTAAATGAACACAGTTGGCCAACTGCCACCTGTATGCACTTGGTACTTGCAGCAAGCACCAAGCACTACTCAGCTTCTCAGAAAGCCTCTGTAGAAACTATGAGCGTCGGACACCCTAAAAACAGGTGCAGCAAAACGCTACTTCCAACCAGACCAGTGAAATCCTCTGAGTTTCCTGCATACAACAAACACAGTGGTGCCCTACTACCAGTGTTTCTGCCTGAAGGGACAGAAAACGGTGTGTGAAAACCTGAGAATTAGGCCAGACAGCCACACCAAGACCCCCACTTCTACATTAATAGCCCTAGACCAGTAACAGCCATTAAAACACAGCTCTCAATGCTCTCTGCTTCTAACTAGTTTAAGGCATCAAGAGTAGAGTGCCACCTACTAAAGTACCAATGGTAGAATTGAGGCAATTCTGGAAAAATTGTTATCTTTTATGTAAACAAGTTTCCTCAATCTTCGAAGGCCCACAGCGTAATGGAAGAGTCTATGGCCAGCATCTTGGCCAGTCTATGCAGAACCTGTCTAAATCTCCCCAGGGGGCAATGGATGTATTCCACTCGTCCAAGCACCAGGGATTCAAATAACCAGATGGCCGGGGCCTCAGGCCACACAGGCGGCGCACATACCTTTTGCTGCATGACTGACAGGAGTGGAAGGCTCATCATCTGATGTGGAGCTGAGGCTCAGGGCAAGTTCTGCAACTCTTTTTTTCTGTTTCTTGATGGGAGCGGTGCATTCTGGGTCAAGTCTCCTCTTCATTGTTAACTGCAACAATAAACCCAGACAGTCAGCTGCCCCTGGGTTTGAGCCACTGTGATCACAGCAAGTATAAATCATCAGTGGGATGAGATTTAGCAATTCTGAGTGTCTTCCAGTGCCAGCACTTTTAAAGAGCTCCTCCTCAGAATGTAATCTAGGAGAAATGCGAGCCAAAGCCCTGGGTGTTACTAACAACATCAGCTTTACTCAAAAACGTGGTAGCGGGGCTGGGGAGGTGGCTCAGTGGAGTAAGTGCTTCCCTGGCAAGCACAAAAGCCCGAGTTCAATCCCTGGTTCTGCCAAAAAAACAAAAACAAAAACAAAACAAAACAAAACAAAAACAAACATGTTCTCATTTGGGGCCGGGGAGATGGCTCAGTGGAATAAGCGCTTCCCTGGCAAGCACAAGGGCCTGAGTTCAATCCCCGGTTCCGCAAAAAAAAAAAAAAAAACAAAAACGTGGTAGCCTCAGATCGGAAGCCTCTGGGCCACTGGTACGAGAACAAATATGAGATTACACAGCATTATACAAGTACTAGGTTTTCATTTACTTCATAATGTCTGAAAATATGAACAAATGGTTTCTACCTACAGTAAGGAATGAGCACATTAGTTGGCTTAGGACTGAAGAAGAATGAGAATGATACTGGATTGGAGACAGCAAGATCCCTGGGCTGAGGTACAGAAACAACATTTTTTTTTTCTTTTTTTTCCAGAACTGGGGATTGAACTCAGGCCCTTGGGCTTGCCAGGCAAGCACTTATTCTACTGAGCCATCTCCTCGGTCCCTTAGAAACAATACTTTTAAGAACAGAGACAGCCAGGCATGGTGGTGCACACCCCTAGGCTGAGGCAGGATGATGGTTCCGAGTTGAAGAGCAGCCAGGGCTACAATGTGAGCTCAACCCCAGCTGGAACTGCACAGCAAGTCCCTGTCTCAAAAATTTGACAAGTTCAAATCCTCGGTCCTGGAAAAAAAAAAGAAAGAAAAAAGAAAGAAAGAAAGGAAGGAAGGGTTAGCCAGATAGCTCAGTGGACTAAAGTACCTGCTTAGGCAGAAAGCAACGGCCAGGGTTTGATCCCCAGCATGCTGTGCTGGCCCTACCCTTGAGGCGTGCTAAGAAGGCAACTGAGACTGGGCGTGGTGGTGTGAGTCTGTAATCCTAGCACTTGGAAGGCTAAAACAGGAGGATCACTACAAGTGCGATCTATGTAGTGAGACCCTGTACTAAATACATTTTAAAAAAAAAAGAGCAGAGGCAAACCACATGGTGGCACACATCTATAATCCCAGCATTCCAGAGCCTGAGGCAGGAGGAACACTTGAGTCCAAGGCCAGCTTGGGCTGCAAAGTGAGTTCAAAGCTACTCAGTACTATATAGTGAGACCCTATCTCAAAGCCAAAAATAAATAAATTAAATTAAATAAGAGACTCAAGTATGGCGATGTTGGGCTAGGGAAGATAGCTCAGTAGAATAAGCACTTGCCTGGCAAGTACAAGGTCTTGAGTTCAATCCACGGTACCACAAAAAAAAAGTACGGTGATGTAATCTCTGAGGCAGGAGGATTACAAGTTGAATACCAACCAGAGCAACTCAGTGAGAACCTATCTCAAAATTTAAAAAGAAAAGCAAGGGAATACAGCTGATTGTGAAGGGCCTAGGTTCAATCCTCAGAATCAATGGGCAAAAATAAAACAGGAACCTGCACCTACCTCGACAAAAAAAAGAATGAAAAGACACAAGTACAATGTCATCCCCACTCATGCTCACGCACACGAAAGCTAGGGGGGGGGGGAAATTGAATGAAATGCTCATGAGATCCTAAAGGCTTAAGGAAAAGTAGTGAATATAGCATAGCTTACACACAACTGGTTGGTTATAGACTATAGAACTCGGACAAAAAATGAGAAACAAGTGCAAAGGGAAGTGGGTGACCAGCTGGACTGCAATCCTTGAGGAGATATGTGCTTATGGCATGGATCACTACAGCCACAGATAGCAAGCAAACAATTTCAAAGTTCCACCGGTGCCCAAATCCTGACAGGGCCCTGGGTCGTCTTTCCCTTCTCGCCAGTCAACCCAATGCACAATCACATCCTTCCTAAGGAAGCAGTCTCATAACTGGCACGGGCAAAGGCTGCCTGGTGAAGAACAGAAGAGTAACCAACAGAAAGCGACACCAGGCCGAGTCACGTTTCATTTTATACCAGCGTGTCGGATCTCCCCCAAAAGGCGAGCAGGGTAAGCTGTAGGAAAGCCCATCACAGTCAGTGTCTCAGCACAGTAAACGCGAAATCGCTTCTGTGATAATTAAGCCACTCTGAGGGGAGGTTGGAAGCACCAGAAACTCGATGTGGGCTGTGTAGAGGTGAGTGCAAATAAAAGAGAGGAAACAGCTGTGTAGAGGGAAGCAAGGACTGATCCTAAATCATACCATCTTAGATTTGGGCCTAATAAGTCATCTACTCCAACCTCTCATTTTCCAATGGAAAACACTGAAGCCCAAAAGGAGAAGGCCACGTAGCCAACCACTGCCTTGTTCAAGGGACCAACACAATCCAGAAGAACGTGCTCTAGCCAGGAACCTTAAAGGGGGGGGTCCTCGTTCCCCACCGGAAGGGCTCCGACCCCGGCGAGGGTCCTTGCACTGGGCCGGGGTTCTTGCCCAGCCAGCCCCCAGCCCACACGACGAGGCACCCGCGTCCTCCCGGGCCGGTCTTGAACATAATGCTGAGCGCGCGAACGTGTGCGCAAGACGTGCACCAGCCGCAGCCGGAGGAATCGCGGCCAGAGGGCGGGCGCCACGGCCGCGGGCAGGGGCCTAGGCGACGGGGGAGGGGAGGATGCTGAGCCCGCGCACCCGCCCGCTCTCTCCCCCCGGGCCGCGATCGGCACTCACGCTGAGGGGAGAGGCAGAGCTGCCGGGAGCGGAAAGGGGGGGAAGTCAGGCAGACCCTGTTGTCGCCGCCGCCACCGGGCCGGGCTTGGCTGCGACCAGAGCCTCCGCCTCCAGCCTTAGTTTCGTTTCCCCACTAGCCAGTCCCAGTCCTCCGACCGCGCCGTCGCGCTCGGGTCCCTCTCTACGCGCAGGCTAGTGACGTCACGGCAGGCCAGGCCCCGCCCCCAGGCTGCCGCGGGGCCCTGGGAAAGGCCGCTCCGGTTCTGGCCCCGCCCACAGCACCGCCTCCGCGGCGGGGCGGAGCGCAGGGCCTGCGCCGGGGGCGGGGACTGCGTGCGAAACCAAAAGTAACCGAGCGCTTTCTCTTCCGGCTCTAGGGCAGGGAAACCGATTGAAAATTGGGGTGGCATTCGGCCGTGATCCCAACCCTCCGAGGCTGAAGCGAGGGAATCGCGATGTCGACCCCAGCCTGCGCTATTTAGCGAGACCTTGTCTCAAAATAAAACAGCAAAAAAGGACTGGGGTTATAGCGCAGGGCGGAGGCCCTGGGCTCGCTCCCCATTATTATGAGCAGTAAACGCCCAGGTGCCCTCACCTTATAGTACCTTAACCTAATTAATACCGTCATCTTAACTTTTCTGACTTTCAGGTTAAGAAATTCGTAAATCTGTCGGACGTTCTGAGTCGCGTTGGTCATTGTAAACCCCATAAATCCGAATTGCACCTCAGGTTCATTTACACTCTTCCCGATCGATGCCCAGTGAATGGCGCTGCCACCCATCTTGTTGGTACAAGCAGCGATCAGAGAAGTTCCCCTCTTCCTCATCCCTAGAGCCTTCAACATTTAATGTAGTTTGCTTCCAGTTTCTCAAATCTATCTTTGCTTTTTTTTGTTTGTTTTTGTTTTTGAACCAGGGTCCTGCTATGCGCTTTAGGCCAGCCTCGAACTCCCGGCAATCCTCCTGCCTCAGCCACCTGAATGCTAGGATTGTAGGCGTGCATCGACATGCCCGCTCAGATCTGTTCGTCTCTCGCCTTGGCCACAATTCACGCACTCTTTCTCAGCAGGACTTGTCCAACAGTTTCAAAAAAAGCATCGGACCTGTAATGCACTCTCCACCAAAACAAGAGTGATTTTTAACAATGCGGTGCTAACCTAACCCATCAATGATTGCACGCTCGACTAGGATACTGCCAGTGCCCTCCTGATGGCCTCTTAAGTCCCTGCAACCTGGCTCTTCTACAGTTGCACCCGGTCACTGGTTTCTCAAACCTGTCCTGTCTCCTAGGGTTCAGCTGCCTGCTCTCATTGCCAGGCAGGTATCGGTTCATCCCCGAGGGATCAGCTCAGCACCCTCGCTTTGGACATCTTATGTGACCCCACGCACCTAGTTAGCACTCAGCTCCCATAACACTCTCTTCTTCACAAAAGAAATCACTTCCCTTGGTGTTGTCAAATGGCCTGTTAATTCCCCTACCTTCCCCGTAGGTGATGTGCGGGGAAGGTTCTGTCAGCCTCTCTGCATTAAATCCACACAGTGCCTGGTGGGAAGTGTAATAGGAGTTTATTAAAAGGTGGCGGGTGAACGCTAGTTCAGGTAATTCCCAGAGGTCATACAGCTACTGAACAATGTAGCAAGCAAGACTTTAACTCAGGTCTCCAGGGTTCTAAGGCCCAGTGTCTTTCTTTTCATCTCACTAAGATTTTTTTTTTTTTTTTCGGAACCGGGTATTGAACTCAGGCCCTTGTGCTTGCCAGGGAAGCGCTTACTCCTCTGAGCCATCTCCCCGACCCCCTCACTAAGAATTCTTGACAACCCTGTGACACAAACACCTCTGGTAACTGTGGACCCATTCACAAAATAGTAATTGGAAAGAGAACAAAAGATACAGGATTACAAAGGAAATGAAGAAGCACATGAAAAAAATTAACATACTTAATAAATTTGTTTGAATTTTGATGTACAGCATTACTGTGAGAATGATTTTTTTTTGAACCAAGGATTGAACTCAGGCCCTTGCGCTTGCCAGGGAAGTGTTTATTCCACTAAGCCATCTCCCTGACCCGTGAGAATGATTTTAAAATGGAAGCAAGTTAAATGTTTGGGGTTTTTTTTAGCAGAACTGGGGATTGAACTTAGGCCCTTGTGCTTACCAGGCAAGCACTTATCCTACTGAGCCATCTCCCCAGCCCCTAAATGTTATTTTCAAATATATATACAGTAAGTGTATCCAATGAATAGCACTGAAGCTACCAGGTAACTTCAAGAAGGGAAACATTAACATTGATTCTTATCTTATGT